ACACAGAGCCTGGCCAGATGGATGAACTGAGGCTTAGAGAGCTGCAGTAACTTGGCTGAGGTCCCACAGCAAGCAAGGAGCAGAAAACGCCAAGCAAGACTCTTTCCACCAGATGCTTGAGGTATTGAGATTTTCCCCCACCTCATCCTCCTCTCTTTTGCTGTCTTATTTGAGGCCACAGCCTGTCCTCATCCCAGGAAAGGAAACAAAATCGTTGCTGACAGGAATGGATTCAAAAGGCCCAGCCAACTTTGAAAATGCTGGCAGGGCTGCCGTCAGCCCTGTTTAATGAGGCTGTGGTGATGTTGGCAATAACCCTGAAGGAAGAAGACAGAAATAACGCTTGTCTTTGCAGTAACCTGCCAAAGTCGACACAGTCTTCAGGGCTGGATGCCAACTGGCAGGCACCACGTAGCCAGAGATACTGGTAGGCATATAACACCTGCCGTGGACAGCTGTTTGAAGAATCTTTCTGCCAGAGGGATTTGGGGTGGCACTCAGGACACCAGAGGAGGAAGGGGATTCTGCAGTTACATTGGTGGAGATGGGGAGTGAAGGGACATGCAGACAGTGACCATTACTTCCAGGGTGTGTCCAAGGGCAAAGTCAGAGCAAAATATGCACAGGTGGGAAGGGAAAGGGGATGAAAATTCCTTGACTGTCTCTCCTTTCTCCTCTTCTCTTCTCATCTATTTTTCTGGCCTCCCACTCCCAGCACTCATCCTGTAGACCATCCTCCAAGGTCTCTCTGTTACCTGCAGACCCAAAGGAGAGTTTCTAGGTGGATAGATGGTAAGCCTGGAGCTGCTGACAGCCATCAGATTAGAAGAACCTGCCTACAGTGGCATCAGCTCAGAGCTGAAACACAGCGATGATGTTTGAGCCTCCGGATTCAGCCATGCCTGAAATCCCTACATTTTATTTTAATCTTACTTTTATTTATTTATTTTTTTTGCTTGCATGACATGTGGGATCTTAGTTCCCCAACCAGATATCAAAGCCTTGCCGTCTGCACTGGAAGCATGGAAGCTTAATCACTGGACCACCAGGGAAGTCCTTGTGTTTTTACATTAAAGGGACAAGAAGTTTTCCTTTAAAAAAAAAAAAAGGAAGTATAGTTAATTTACAATATTGTGTTAGTTTAGGAGCTAAATTTTCATTTTCGCTTAAGAAGTTTTCAACTAGGTTTCCTGTCACTTATAATAAGAAGAACATGAATAAAATCCTAACTGAAACAGCATTAGCTTGCTGAGCATAATTTTCAAGGACAGATTCTCTATAACAACCCAGGCAGGATGTAGAGGATTTTAGAACAGAGCTACTTGACATGGTAAATTCAGAATTCAGAGGCACCTGACAGAGGAAGAGAGGGGGCCAGCTCCTGCCCCAGCAGGCCTTGGTTTGGGGAAGGGGGCAAGATGCTCAGGTGTGTGGGGAGGAAGCATAGGTCAGAGCTGGTTCTTAGGCTTGGCAATCCCGAGACTGTCTCAGGTAATGATGGTAGCTACCTTCTGCTGAGCCCTTCCTACATGCCACAGTGTGCTATGTGTATGATTATTTCATATAATCTTCATAGTATCCCTCAGAAGTAAATATATCAACAGCATCATTTTCTCGACAAGGAGCTGAAACTCAGAGTGGTGAAGTATCTTGTTGCATACTAGTGAGTAGCAGAGCAGAGATTCAAACCTAGTGCATCAGACTCAAGAAACTTTGCTTTTAATAACCGCATTATACTCTTCCCAGATGTGTTAGTGGGACGGGGGAGGTTATCAAATGGAGAATTAATAATAATCTTTCCTGTTGGTATAGCCTGCCAGAGTTTACAAGCTCCAATTTTATAAGCAATCTTACTGCATCCCCATTTTACCGATGTAGAAACTGAGGCTTAGAGGTAGGAAGTGACTTGCTCGAACTCATTTGGTCAAATGGGATAAACTACCAAGAGGTCCACAGTCTTCAGAAACTCAAAGGGGATTTGCAGGGGGTGGGGTTGGTCTTCTACCTTGACCCATGCTTAACAGCAGTGATGTGTTAGTCTGGCTGAGGAAGATCTCTGAGACACGAGGTGACCAACCATGGTTGTGGCCATAGATCCAACTGCAGAACACAAATCTCACTACAGCAAAGAGCTCTGCATTCACAAAAAGATTCTCAGCTCTAGCCAAGGCCCTTTTTACTTTCCCATAACACTTGATATGGACAAATTCCTATTCAACTGGAGACATTCAGCTCCTGGTTTTCTGGGTAGGGGTGTGGAGGGAATCTAGCGATGAAAGGAGGCCCTTTCTTCTGTCAGGACATCCTCAACAAAAGGCTGCAAGACCGAGCTGAGCTGCTGGCGGATGGGGAATTGGAATCTGCCTGCCTGGCTTCCTCTCAGAGGAAAGTAGCTGTCCTGGCCAGAGCCCCAGGGGCCCTTATTGTTGGACCTGTCCTGATGGTTTACCGAGCTCAGAGGCACCTGTCCTGGAAAGACAAGGCCAGGCTGTCTTTCACTGTTGCCTGGGCGACTCAGGCTTGGAGAAGTGACCAGGCAGGGATCCAGGAGACAGGACAGAAGGGACCAGGGCAGCCACTGTTGTTTACTGCTGGCAGCATGCCAGGGGGCTAGAAGGTGAGCTGCAATGCCATCGCTCCTCTAGGAGACTGTGTGTTCAATGTGTATGTTGAGGGACAGGGAATCCCTTGGGCCTCCCTGGGGCCAGATAAGCAGCCTTCCGCCCTTCTGGATTTATTTCCCTGCAGCAGTATGTGAATTCTGAGTCTAGGGCAAGTGCTAATGGCAGGAACTGAAGGAAAGAAACAGAAGATCAAACCCAGCCCTTCTGGATCTGGGAAGTTCAGCGCAGGTTCGGGGGCAGACAGCCTGGGGTTAAAATCCCAGCTCTACCAGTAGCTTTACTTGGACAACACTTTAACTGCCTGCTGTACTTATACTAGTATTTATTGAGCACCTTCTGTGAGCTAGGGATTCAAAGGTAAGCAAAAATGGACTCAGTGGCCTTCTTGGAGCTTATAGTTAATGAAGGAGGTAAGTATTCACCAAACAACCAATAACATCCCCACCTCAACCACCAAAAAAGAAATATCTAGGAGAGATGCATAGTTTATAATTAGCAAGAGTGCACTCTCTCTGGGAGGTCAGAAAAGGCTTTCTTAGAAAAAACCATAATGGAACTGGGTCTGTTTACTGCACAAGGTAGGAGGAGTCATTCCATGCAGAAGGAACAGGATATTCAAAGGTAAGCCATTTGGCAAGAGAGCATGGCTCCTCCACGGAACTGCAGGAAAGGAAAATCATGAGGCCGAAGTACAGAGTGGAGACCCAGGTGGGTGCAGATTGGGCAAGAATGTGAGTCTTGAAGAGCAATAGGAAACCTTTTGTGGCGCTTTAATCAGGGATGTGAGATGATCACATTTGCAGTTTGAAAAGATTGCTCTGGCAGCAGCAAACAATGGATTGGAAGAGAACCAAGGCACATTCAGGGGACCAGTTAGGTCTCAGATATTTGTCTGTAAAATGAGGATAATGACCAGGTGGCGCTAGTGGTTAAGAACCCGCTTGCCAATGAAGACAGATGTGGGTTCCATCCCTGGTTGGGGAAAATCCCCTGGAGGAGGGCATGACAACCCACTCCAGTGTTCTTGCCTGGAGAATCCCATGAACAGAGGAGCCTGGTGTGCTACACTCCATGGGGTCGCAAAGAGTCAGTCAGACACTACTGAAGCCACTGAGTACCCACAATAATACCCTCTCATAAATTGATGCCAGGAGTCAATGAGAGACTGAATTTTAAGTATTTATTCTGGTGCCTGGCACATAGTAAAGGCTCAGTAAATGTTACTGTTTCTTTTGTTGGTTTTCTCCAGAGAGCAGATCTTTCTGCTTTATGCCTGCTCTAGTGAAATGGGGTGGTAGAGGGTAGGGGTGGTGGTTTCTAGTCTGGAAACGCGGTTTGTACTAAATCACAGCGTCGAGGCCAGGGCCCAGGACGCCTGAAGGCTCCATTAGAAGGCTTGAAAAGATGACAGATTCACAAAGAAAACCGGGTTCCAGTTGCTCCCGGGCATGCTGGAGAGACCGGTGAACGACCCTCTGGACCGTGTTGGCTGAGAAAAACGTGCTTTTCTGCCGGGTTTTCCGAAGAGCAAGTGCAGGACTTGTACTCGTGTGCAGTCGCGCGAGGACCCTCGCCACTCCTCAGCCCCAGGCTGACTGGCAGGCATCGCCAGGCCCTGCTCCCCCAGCTCGGACGCGCGAGTACCGGGAGGAGGAGAGTCCCCAGAAGGTGGACTCCGGCCGTCCCGCAGGGGCTGCCCCCCTCCCCAGTCACGTGGCCTGGTGGGTGGGGACCGATCTGAAGTTGGAGAAAATCAGAGCTATCCCAACTTCAGAGTGCGCCGCCCGTTCCTCCCGATCCCGGGCTCAATTTGAGCGTGGGGCTCCAGGAGGAGCGCGAAGGTGGGAACTGGTGAAGCCGAGCAGCGGCGCAGACGGCGGGACTCCGGGCATGGCCCAGCTGTCGGTGATCCCGGGGTCGGCCACGGCGTGGACAGGTGAGCTGGAACCAGATGGTGGCGGCGGCCGACGTGGGCGAGGCCGCTCGGAAACTGCCTGCCCCCACCCCCACCCCACACACACCTCATCTCGGTCCAGGGGATGCTGGGCACCTACAACGGGAGGGACCGGTTGGGTAAAGCGGCGGTAGAAGACTTGGCTCTCCGAGTCAGTCCCGCTAGCGCCACTCCTCGGCCCCCCGTCCCCGCAGCTGGGTGACGCGGTGGTGGGCAGCTGCTGGGAACGCTGCGGGGCCGCGAGCCGGCTGGGGGCGCTGAGCCGGCCCCGCCCCCCGCGCGTACTCTGACTGCTCCGCGTGGCGTCACGCTCGGCTATAAAAACTGAGGAGCGCGGCTCTTGCTGCGCTGGAGGAGCTCGAGGCTGAGGGCTGCCGGGGAGCGGGGAGCGACGGGGACGCTGGGCAGCGGGCGCCTCAGCGATGTTTTACTCAGGGCTCCTCACCGAGGGCGGCCGCAAGGAGACAGACATGCGGGAGGCGGCGTCGCTGAGGCAGCAGCGCCGGATGAAGCAGGCCGTGCAGTTCATTCACAAGGACTCGGCCGACCTACTGCCCTTGGACGGCCTCAAGAAGCTGGGTTCGTCCAAGGACACGGTGAGCCCCCGCGGCCGCACCCGCCTCGGGGACCCCGCGAGCGGCGGCCTGTCACCTTTGCGCTGTAAGGTCTCTTGGGGCCCGCCCTTCGCCGCTTTCACTGAGTCACCGGCTCGGCCCCCTCCGTCTCCAGCGCTGTCCGCTCTCTCTGGTGCTCTGTTGGGGATTCAGCTCCATCCAGCATCCCCCTGCTTCAGTTTCTCTCGGGATTCCAGAGTAGCTTTTCAAGCTCGCCCTCCCTTCGGCGCACCCTCCTCCCTTCTTCTTTCTCCTCTGGAGTAGAAGAGACCCTGCCTTCTTGCCCTCAGCTCCCCTTTCCTTTATTCGCAGTGCCGAGTTTGATTGCCCGGGCCTTGAGCCTCGCGGCCAGGGTAGCTCCCGCTGCCTCCTAGGCTGCTTGGCCCGTCTTGTGACTCCTAGTGGGTGTGAGGAGGAGAGAACGAAGTGGGAAGGGGGCTTTCTGGGCAGTCACCATATCCAGATCGCTTTGGTTGAATCCATTTCCTCTCTGTGCAAAATCTACTTCTCCGTTTGATTTTGGTCTCATCTACCCTTGACCTTCCAACGGGTGGGGGCGGGGAGAGAACAAGGGTGACCGTGAAGGTTTCCTGAGCCCCAAACCTCTCTTCATTATTTTCCTCTCCTGCTGCTCCATCCCCAAAGAGTGGATAAAGGGAGAAAGCCAGGCTGCTCCCTCTCATCAACGGCTAGTGTGTGGAGCTGGTGCTGTGCTGGGGCTCCCGCAGTTCTTTCTTTCTTTCCCTAGCAAGGTTGTTCTTGGCATTAAGAAGGAGAAACTCCAGAGCTGAAGGTCTTGAGTTCAAAGACCATACTGTCCTCTATCTATAGGAGGGATCCTATAGGGGGATAAAGGTTAGTTTGGAGTTTGAAGAACTAGTTTGAAGAACTGTATCTGACTCCCCTCCTTAATTCACTGTAGTGGTGCTGCACCAAATTGATGTTGAGTCTTGTACTTTCATCTGGAATTTTCTTGTAGTTTAACTTGTTTTCTTGAAGTTCATAATCACTTTATTCATCTAGGCAATAATTTATGAAGCATTATTTAAATGTCTTAAATGAAGTGGATACTTTGTATAATTTTGCCAGTATTTTTGAGCTTTTGGAATGTTTAATTTGTCAGGGAAGCGGGTATCAGCCTGCAACACTGAAATTGCCATTTCAAGCCACATGTTGGGTATGGAGGGCAGAGCTGCTGAATCCACTTCTCTCCCTCTCTCTTTTTTTTAAATTTTACCAACTCTAATGAGACATAGATACCAAGATCAGATTTGCCCTCCCCCATTGTGATAGAGAATTATTTTTAGTTATTTATGTGCAGGGGATGTCTACTCAGTTATCCTGCTGTGTTTTTTAAAGGATGTTTTACTTGAACAAGCCACAGGATAGGTAATCTAATTCATTCTAACTCAGAGTGGTGGATAAATGAAATGTATTCCCAGAAAAGAGATAACTGTCTTTCTTCCTTCCTTCCACTTTACAGCAGTCTAAATTCATTTAGCAAATCTGGTACAAATCTTCTTACTTTCAGGCCAAAATAATCCTAGTTCTTGGAAGTCTCAGGAGCCAATAAACAGTAATAGGAAAATAAGTCAAGTGTGGAATTCTCCCCCCTTCATGCTGAATTTAAGATATGTTTCACATTTGGTTGTCCTGGGATGTCGAGGAGTTTCCTAGCCCTGAGGAACTGCCTCTCCATTCTTCTGCCAAGCATTCTTTATACTGCTTCATCTTGTGTAGGAAGAATTCCATCTGCTTTTCTGACTCCAGTCTGTCTCAGTTGAGCCACACAGGAGCTGCTAACATGGAACAGGCAGCAGGCCAGAAGGAAGAAACATCCTCAGAGCAGGTTATTGCCATGGATGTGACACACTGCAGTTTACCGTGAGCCCCTGACCCCTGGTTCACAATTTCTCTCCCTGGCTGCCCTCCACTGCCAGGGAGCTAGTACTCTCTCACTTTTCTCACACCTGGAGTATGCACGTGATTGCACAGAAGAGTTAGAACCAGTCACAGAGGTCGAGGGAGACTGAGATAGAGCTTGGAGAGCTCTGAGTACTGGAATGAAGTAGCATGCTTAAGCTTTCTTGGAGCTTATGCTGCAACCTCCAAATAATCTTAGAAATAACCTTAGAAGTACTGTGTCACTTATCTTTATGGTTATAGCTGGTAGGATAGACCAGTGTTGACTCAATGTTCCGTCACCGAAGTGAAATTTAGAGGATACCAAAATTGATTAGATAAGTCCATAGTATAAAGCAGGCAGATTCTTTACCACCTGAGCCACTACTGAGGCCTAAAATTGATGATACAAGTCTATAGTACAAACTCAATAGAAGTGGGACAAGAAAAGGAAGGGGCAACACCAGAGGAAGATAGGAGGGAAAGGATGAATTAGTTCTCATTGACTTTGGGGTTTGTGCTAGTGAGAAGATTGTAGGTTGTTTTCTTCATACTGGTGACCTATATTAGAATTATATTATTGAGTATTCTGAATTATCTACCTTTTACCATGCTGTTTCTATAATATTCACTATTTGAATCCAGGCTGCCAACGTTTTTTTTTGGATTAGCAAAGAGCATCCATAGACAGTCAAATGTGGTCTTGTTCTCTTGGCCCCAGGGAAGTGCCTTTGCCCTATTCCTGTTTGTGTGTAGTTGGCTGCTACAAAGTCTACTGTGGAAATTAATCTTATTTCTAATGTGTGGCTCTCTTATTTCGTTTGTCCTTTCATCTTGTGCAGTTTGTATGTGCATGTGTTTGTGTGTGTGTATTAGATTAAGAACTAAAATCAGAGATATAAGTGAGTAATATTTTATTTCACTTATTAGTCAAGTTGATGAAGCTAGAAAAAAATCACTCTTGGAGCTTTGTGTATTCTAATTTCTTTTTTTTTTTAGCTACCAGATTAATAAATATTCTTCTCATTGAGGTGAAGACTTTTCAACTTTTAAAAATAGTCATGTCATAGTATAATATGCTGTCTTTCCTATATGGTAATAGTACTAACCATAAGGGTATAGCCTTACTTATTCAGCAATAAAAAGAGAGTTTTGCTTTCCTGTCTATGATTGCTTCTGCTTATAGCCAAATGCTTTAGGAAAACTCACTAAAATTAAAAGGCTGGGGAAGGAAATAAAGCAAAGCCAACCAACCGTGAAATGACCAGCCCTGTACTCTGAGTATGGGTTTACCTGGTGGCTCAGTGGTAAAGAACCTGTCTGCTAATGCAGGAGATGCAGGTTTGATCCTTGATTGGGAAGATCCCCTGGAAAAGGAAATTGCAGCCCACTCCAGTATTCTTGCTTGGGAAGTCACATGGACAGAGGAGCCTGGTGGGCTGCAGTCCATGGGGTCAAAAAAGAGTCAGACACAACAGCAACAAGGAATACTCTGAGCATCTGATCCTCCTGATAGAATCTCTATCAGTGAGGGCAGCCTTGCGTGTTACCCTATAGTTTTTCATAATGCCACAAGACATCCATAATGCTGTAGATTTTGGGCCAGAGGACTTTGGAATTTTAGAAGAGGAGCATGAAATACCAGTATAAATCAGGATCTGGTGCAAAGTGAAGATTTCCAGAGCCACGATCAAATCCTAATTATAGGAAACATTATTTGAACACTAGCTGTGTTCAGGACACAGTGCTAGGACCACAAAGAAGAAAACAGCAAAATTTACCTATACAAGAAGTTTATAGATTGGGGGAAGGATAGGACCAATTTATTTATTTATTCCCCAAATATTTATTGAACACTTATTACATGTCAGGCATAATCTAGGTATTGAAGATATAATAGTGAACCAAAACGGGTTTCCTGCCCTCACAGAACTTGCATTCTGTGGGCGAGAAGGTAGAAAATAAATCAAGTAAATATATACTATATCAGGTTGTGATCAGTGCTATGGAGAAAATAAACCAGGATAAGGGAATAGAGAGTGTAATGGCCAGGTAGGATGAAGTAGAGCCTTACAGTTTTATCTAGGGTGATCAAGGAAGGCATCTCTGGTAAGATGACACTATAGGAGATATTGAAGGAAATGAGAGAGCAAAATATCTTGCGGAAAAATGTTACAGGCAGAAGGAACAGCCACTGCAAAGGCCTAAACATCATTGTGCTTGATGTGATTGAAGAATTATAACAAGGCCATTGTGGCCAGAGCAAAATGAGCAACAGGAAGTGATAGGAGACAACATCTCCTATCAGAGAGATAGTGGGAGGCCAAAATACTTAGGGCCTTATAGGTCATTGTACAGATATTTAATCTGATAAGGGAAACTGGTGGAAAACTTTTTGCAGAAGGGTGAGATGACATGACATTTCACAAAGCAGACCACTGTGTGGATTAGGCTGTAGGGGGCAAGCATGTAAGCAGGCAGACTGGTTAGGAAGCTGGTTAGTTAGCATTTAGATAGTAATCTAGGTAAAGATGATGGTGCCTCAGAGCAGTGTGCTAGCAGTGAAGGGGACAAGAAAAGACCAGATTCTGGGTTCTTTCGAAGACAGAGCTGACAAGTTTGGTTGAGAGTTGGACTAAAGATCTGAAAGAAAGAGTAGTTAAGAATGACGCTAATGTTTTTGATCTAGTCATTGGAAGAATAAAGTTTGTCATACACAGAAGTGGCTAAGAGGTGCAGGTTAAGGATAGGAAATAAGAATCAGGAATTTGATTATTGAACAAGTTAAGTTTGGAACATGTATTAGTTATTTAGGTGTAGGTGTTGAATAGATAGTTCCATGAGAAGATGAATAATACCACCAGGAACCTTATGTGCTATCAAGATATTATGGTCCATCAGCGCTAGAGAAGTTCAGTGGAAGCAGTGACTACTCTGGCCTGGTGTGACAATAGTGATGGAGAACAACATCTGATAAGAGTTTCATCATCCCCTGGAGAGTCAACTGTGATATATAGAGAGGAAGCTGCTTCCAGAGCATGTCCTATAGAACCTCAGAATAAGAACTTTATAGGTTATCT